ATTAAGCTTAAACTGTTAGATTATCACTTCTATATGTGTATATGCAGTATATGGAACAATAAACTGAAATTACCTTCTAGGCATAACAGTATTAAGAACCATCCATAGTTTATTGACTGTTTGAAGAACTCTCCGTGGAACTCCTGAATTCAGCAGCTGGTTCATATTGGATGTTAATACTTCTGCATATGGTATAAGTTCACTGGCAGAGAGTAGGGTCAAGTGTTCTAGAATCTGCATCACTTGTGTGTGACTTACTGGGACAGCTGAAAATGCTAAAGAGAAAATTCAGTGGTCACAATCTAAACGTTGTGAAGTTTTCAAGTAACATTTGCTCTCTAGTATTATAGATCAAAGAAAACAAAACAAACAAAAAACGTGCTGCTGAAAAAGAGAACTTTCAAATGTCAGCCATCTTCCAGTTAAGTTCGCAGCTGCGGCTGCAACACTGCCATCATAGCTCTACCGCCAGCGCTGCGGCTAGCTTGCCGAGCGAGACCCAGCTGAAGCAGTAAGGGGCTATCACAATCGAGGCTTGTACAAAGCAGAGTGCCGGCAAATCAACCGGTGGTAAAGCACACTGGAGGCAGCTGGATACAAAAGCCACTCCCAAGAGTGCACACTCTAGTGGAGGAGTGAAGACACCTCAACATTCAGGACTGGTGCTGTGGCTCTTTGTGATACTAGACATTATTAGAAGACCACCGAAATTCCGATTTGCAAACATCCCTTTCAGTGTCTGGTGTGAGCAATTGCTCAGGACTTCCAAACTAATTTGTGCTTCCAGTTCAATTACTGTTTGCTTTGCAGGAGGCAAGTATGGCCTATCTGGTTGGTCTTTTTAAAAACACCAATCTGTGTGCCTATCCGTGCCAAACGTGTAATAATTATGCCAAAAGACATCCTATTAGCACAAGGACATGTTTAAGAATCCACATAGGGGAAGATGGGAGTGGAGGGGGATCGATCGATCACAATGAACGATGCATAACCCCACCATCCCACCCTTCCACCACACACAGGGAACAAACAACAGAAATGTGGGTGAAGGGAGACAGCGATCAGTGTAAGATATAAAAATAATAATAAATTATCAAAGGGTCATTCGGGGGAACCTATTACCAAGAGCACAAATAGTAAGTAAATGTTTAGAAAATGATTATGGCAACATATGGAAAAACATGCTTGATACAATTGATGTATGGAATGTTATAAGAGCTGTTAAGAGCCCCCAATAAAATGATTTTTTTTAAATCCACAAAACAGGAAGCATTTCATTCTTTAAAAAAAATTCTCATCTTCCTCTTATGGGATCAAAAGGTATCTAAATATATGTCTATGAATGAAAAAATAGGGGACAGAAATCAGGTATTTGCAGTTTTTCCATTTTCATTTGTCTGAATTTTTAATATAAATGCAGGAACATACAGCATTAATGAATATCAAAATGTTTCAGTGAGCTTGTTTCAGCAATTTAACTTTTTTTTTTTTCTTTTTAAATCATTTTATTGGGGGCTT